CATTATAACCAATATTTTTCTTCAGCTCTTGACGCAACATACTCTCATCGTGTACCTTAATAGTTACAGACTGACATTCAGCATTATTATATCAACTCGCGCTATCATTCAAACCGGCTCACAGCAATGGTAGATGGTAGCAAACTAGACAGACTCCTAGGCATAGAACTTAGAGTATATAATTACAGTAGTGCTGTAATTATATACTCTAAGCCACAAAAGGATCTTCCGTGTCTAAGGGAGTTTAGAGGGAACTTGACCGGCGGCGGTTTGCTGCTCCTGTATTATCGTTTAATATAATGGTTTGAAGTGGATTTTGATATGAAAAAGTCGTGCGATTTTGTGTGTTAAGTGTCTGCGCATGTGAAATATTAGTGGAAACGGTGAAACAAGTGCTCTCATGGTGATGTGATTCTCAAGATAAGATGTCTGGTTGCTTAGGCGCTTTGAGATACCATCGCCAACTCTCAGCTGTCTGCTGGCTCAAGTTTTAGTCAAAATCTTCTAAGGGCTACACAATGTGACGCATAAACATATTGTGAAGCATTACACTATGAAAGATCATTATAAATTGTAACTTTAGGCTCAGAAGGGCTAGAACCCAGAGCCGTAAAGCCAGTTATAAAAAAATTCTGTGCATACTTATTCCTCCCACTGCGGGCTCGACGCGTTCCAACACACACCGCGTACACACCGTACACCCGCGTGCCTGGGCGGTTCTCACCGCCCAGAACATCGACCGATACGAGCTAAGCAGTCAGAGGCAGGGGTTCGCATTCCCCCCCTCGGACTGCGGTTAGATAGCTCAAAATAAACCTCTACGGAGGGGACATGATGATTGGTAACAATACCAAATCACAAACCATCATCATCCTCATCCTTATCCCAGCTACCGCCTTTCCACTTTTAAATAGCTCGCGGCCTTTGAGGCCGCGAGCCCTGCGTCCGATGAAGCTGTAAGAACCGCATAGGTTAACAGCGTTAACATCACAGAAAATAGTTATTCCTCCCACTGCCGCCGACCGCATTCCGCGCTTTTATAAAAGTTTAAGTTACCCTTAGCAATGCAATGCTCCGATCAACGTGTGAGTGAAGTCATGATGCCATCGGCAATCCCACGGCGCTCGGCTTATAAATACAATTATTTCCACCGGTTAGAATATTCTTATCTGACAGTTACGCGTCTGTTCTATAAAAACCGGCCAAGTGCAAGTCGTTCCGTTTTTAGTAGAGGAGCCCCTTTAATTTTCAATTTATTTTTATTTTTATAATTTGTTGTTATAGCGCCAACAGCAGTAGAATAGAATGTGTATTAATGCATTCTTTGAACCTTTTCAAATGTCTAGCTATTACGGATCATAAGATACAGTCCGCTGACAGACAGACGGACAGACCTCGGAGGCTTAGTAATAGGGTTCTGTTGGTTACCCTTTGGGTAGGGAACCCTAAAAAGCAGAATTGGATCATTAAAATTTTTAAAGCCAGAGCAACATTAAAGTAAGCTACCTAGTTAGTTACAGCCTATATACATTCCATCCTGGATATTAGCGGACTTTACATGTATTTTTTGACAACGAAACAAACGAAATAACATTCCACCTGTTGGTAAGTGGCTTCTGCAGTCCATAGAAATGATCTTTGTCCTGAGAGATAACACTCAGGACAAGATGGAATGCGTCACAGCCAGTAATTAAACTGTCTCCCTATATCTATACGCTTCACATCCGAACACAATGCAAGCACTTCTATTTGGCGTCTAAAATACGTAAGTCAGTGGCACCTACCAGTGACGGATTATCCTTAACGCAAACTAGGCATGTGCCTAAGGACGCGAGGGAATAAAGGGGCACGCTCAGAAGTTTTTAAACGAAAACAATGAAGTAAGTACCTACTTACGTAAAATAACAGATCATACGTTTTATAGAGACGTAGAGCTTCCGAAGCGCGCTCCGTCTACTTGATCACTCCTACTTAGCTCATCACATTTTTATTTACACTCACCTGCACGGCTAGCGTGGGCTGGGGACAAAGATTTTATCCCCCGATTATATCCACTGACAAGAGATAAAATTATCTTGTCCCTATGCCAAAGCACGACAACGGGGAGAAGTATGTACTTAAAGGGAGGCTCTAGCCGCTTATTTATATTAAAATACCTTCTGAAGTAAATAAAGAATTAAAGTAAATAAAAAATGTATTATTATTATATTATTATTATGTATATCCCCGTTTGACATAACGAGTAGACATATATCCCCCGTCCGTACCATGGAGTCAAATGAAAGATAAAAAATTATACTTTTTTGACATTTGAAGGGGAAAATTCTATCCTAGTTCATTGGACGTGTGTTAACGTTTTAAATTCATACAAAAAATCTATCTATGTTTAAGTCCCATTTTATCTACTGTGGATATTATATCCACCGGTGTGCCCATGCTCGAAGGGTGGATAAAACTAAGCGAGGGGATGAACATTTTCTCCTTTCCCCGGGGATTAAATTGTCTCCTGCCCATGCTAACCCTGCTGCTAAGGGTACACTTGTCCTGTTCTACCCAATTATTTTGCAAATAAACTATACCTAGTCAGGTCATAAATTCTGTCACATGTTTAATATAAAATAATTGAAACAAGTTTATTCATTATGTAACCATTTATATACCAAAATGAACTTAACAAAACATAGATTCTTATGACACTAAAGTTTATTCAAAATGACCTCCGTGATTTTGAATACAGGCATTCAATCTGCTCAGCCAGTCGTCTATCGCAGCACGAACGAGGTCCATGTCAATATCGGCGGCTGCCTTAATCAAGGATGTCTAGAGTGACTCCAAATTGGGATGAGGCTTTGAACACGCCTTTTCCTCCAAGTGTTGCCATATCTTGTAATCTAACGGATTCAAATCTGGACTGGAGGAGGGCCAGTCTTCGTGCCGGATGAAGGCGATTTCACGCGCCGCCAGCCAGTCTTGTGTGCTCTTCGCTCTATGAGCTGGCGCCGAATCTTGTTGGAATATCCAGTGCCTGTTATTGAACATGGTATAAGAAACAGGTTCCACAAGGTTCGTCAGGACTGTATTTTGATACACAACTGCATTCGTTTTTACACCTTTCTCACAAAAATGTGCCTCTGTTAAGCCCCAATAAGAAACTCCCAACCATACCATGAGCGAGGAAGTAAAATGACCTCGTTGGACACGCGGAATACGGTTGCTCGCTTCTTCACTACTGTGTGCGTACACCCTATCATTTTGTTTGTTGTAGCTCTCTTCTACGGTAAAAAATTTTTCATCCGAAAAAAGAATTTCCCGATATTTTTTTCCCGCGAACCGCTTCAACAAAGCGCGTCATCTCTTCAGTCTCAGGTCCATTAGACGAGCATTCAAACGATGTCCTGTTTTTCTTCGATATGCCCAAAGCCCTAAGTCTTCATTTAACACCCTTTTCACCGTGGTTCTCCTGAACCCCATCTGAAGGGCCAACAGTTTCTGCTTACGTTTGGGATTTCTTTGAATTCGCGCCTTCACAGCTTTTATCACTTCTTGACCTGTCATCTACACTAGAGTCTTCATTGTATCGTTTGATGGTACGATAAACGAATCTTTTGGTTATATTCAAATTTTTCAGTATGTCAAAAATTTTAATTGGCGCGTAACCGCAGCGAAGCAACGCAATAACTGCAACACGGTCTTCTTTAAGCGTCCACTCCATATTTAAAAATGCGTAAAATTCTAAAAAGTATACAGTTTTATTTTCATGAACAATTCGAAATTCGAATTCAATAAACTTTTTTGTGGCCAGCATTCTAAAAGAAAAGTTTTTACTGTGTGACAATACTTATGACCTGACTATGTATTATTATTTATAATGTAGTTAGTATAAGCAGCAACAAGTTATATAGGTATATATATATATATATATATATATATATATACCGCCAGTTGGGTGCCGATATGGTGCTAGCCTACGGCGCTGCCGACATTTAACCCTCCACTGGCACCTACCCAGACGGACTTCTTGGTAGAAAAGACCGCCAAGTAGTAGGCCAGAAGTATATTTATTTTAATTTTTCAGCTGCAGATTTTCTCACGACGTTTTCCGTCACCGCCGAGCAAGTTATAAATCAGCACTTAAAGTTGCAGTTATTGTAATTCTATTGGTGTCAGGATCGATACTAAATTACTCGCATTCTGTGAACAGCGGACACTTAACGCCTAGTCCCTGAGCTACCACGGCTCTAACATTATGACGATATACTAATTTTTTTTTTCAATTTACAAATAATACATTACCACGCATTTTGAATTTAGAAAATAAAAAGGACAGAATGTTTGACATTTTTTTTTATTAATTTTTCTTCACCATTTGCATACATTACTTATTCTGAACACTCTCTGCTAATTTGGCCGGTTATAGCAAAATCATTCTGTATAACGGATTTCTGAAAAGTAACCCCCTGTTTCTAATACATTATCTAGTTCGTCACGCCTGTGTTATAAAAATAACAATGTTATTATTTAACGGTTCGATGGCGCAGAGGTTAATCGTTTGGCTGGCTAGACCTGGGAGATGTTTCACCTTGTTTTTAATTAAATATGTAAAACTCCCCTACAATATAGAAGAAATTAAAGTTCACATTAAAAATTCAGTTTAAATGTATAGTTTCAAAAACATGTTCAATAATAAAAACAAACATAGAAGACCTAGGAATATTTATGCACACCTAAGATGCACACATACACAGCCCTGGTACTGGTACTAAGTATACCGTGTTGATATACAAACGATATAATTTGAACGCGACTGTACCGGTAAAACAAGCTACAGCAACATCTTGTGTTGGCTTATTTTCATTATTTACATTCAATTCCCATCCGCGTTACGGCAGAACCATACATATAGAGATCAAGAGGCGCGCGCTTGCACTAAGACGGACAGCGAACTACAACATTGTTAAAATATTCGAAAATATCAGTGTAATAAGGAATAACGTAACGAAATGGCGGGAAAATTGACAGTTTTTCTTTTTCTTTCTATTATCGCTCTAAGCCATGGTAAGTTTTTTTAAAATTATAAACTACTAAAATTAATTAAAGTGTTATGTTTTTAATAAAATGTAAAAAGTATATTTTATGTATTTAGACAATTATAATTAATGATGGTACAAATAAAAAAATAAAAACAAAGCGCGTCGCACTCATAGAGATAGATATACCTAGTCGCAGCACTAAAATGCATCATTGTCATGATAGAATTGTCACCAGTCAGCATCTTTTTATTATAAAATTATAATATATTACATATAAGATTTCCCGCCTTATGTACCATTGTTACCTAGTTCTACAATTCTACAGTCTAATTTCTTTAAAAAATGTTAAGTCAAATACATTGAGTTATATGTACTACGTACTAGAGAAGCCATTCCAAACAAAAATTGTTTCCTACTCTATGTCTTCGCGCATGCGCGGGAGTAGGAGTCGCGTATGCGCGAAGACTTTAATTTAATATAAAATAAGATATTAATATAAAATAAATATAAGAATTTAATATAAAGTATCTTAATTTAATCGAAACAAACATATTTCTAAATAAAATGTAATAATAATTATTTTATGGAATTCACAAGTCTTCAATTTACGCAATATTTAGTTTGTATAGACTGCACTACAGTTCAGTTGAACCTAGTCAATGTTCGGAATGGCTTCTCTAGTACGTAGTACATATAACTCAATGGTCAAATATTATAAAAACTATTTAATGAAAGGTATCCGATCATAAACAATCACGAAATACTAATGATCCTACGTTTTACCAAATCATACCTTTAACCAAAAAGATCGGCCAGCCATAAACAATTCAATGTACCATATCATGTTAACTTTTTAACAAGAAAAAATATGCGAAATATTTTTCTAAATGCTATTTGAACGGTTACAGTATTTTCATATAGTTTACGATGTCAAAGATAATATTATGTACTAAAAAGTTTCATTGTTTAATAATAAAAACAACCGTGGACAGATTAAAAACATAGTAACCAATACATTAATAGTAAAAGCTTATGCAGATGGAGGTTTGGTGTTGGTAGATAAAAATAGACCATCGATCTACAGGTAGCTGGACTTGATATTAAATTGCATTACGTGCTTTTACGGCAATTACACGATCAGTACTCGGACCAACAAATAAGATAAACAAAACTACGTACATTTCAACTTCAAATGAAGCCGAAAGTCAAAACCACACCAATTGAAATGTGCTTAGTGTTCTGTCTATTTGTTGTTTGACATGTTAACAAATTGTTACTTACTACAATTTTTAAAAGAATTTTTCTCGAAGATGGTAACAGTAACCGTTACCGTTACAGCCTATTAAAGTCCACTGCTAAACATAGGCCTTCCCAATAAATTGCATCATAGAGGCGATATTTGCCATAGTTGCCACGCTTGGAAACCGGGTTGGCAACTGCAGTTTTATATTTAGCCGTTATTAGGAAGACGCCTCTTATGACACCCAAGATGGTAACTAATTTACTAGTTTACGTTATAACATTACTTATTTATATTTATGATACTATCCTATATATACGACTAATCGATGCTGCTGGTGACAACAGAGTAGATTCATTTCAAATATGTATAATTATTTAAACAGGGATTTAAAGAGTGAAATTTTGTGTAATTTTAATTATAATGGTATAATGAAATGAAATATAATTATCTTCTCGCCATAATATGTTTCGCACCTGCCAACAATTGTCTTTGGAACCCAGGGTTGGCAGTGAATGCCACAGGGCATTAAGTCCGCCCTATGTACCCTTAACTTAGTGCTTGTTACATTTTAAACTTTTAAATAAAAAAATATAATAATAATTTGTCAAAAGCTTTTTTTGTTCAAATCTTTTACTGTTTCAAAATTAGGTTCCTCTAACCGGAGAAGAAACCGCAAAAGAAACCCTTCCATTTTAATCTACTTCTTGCCTTATATAAATAAATAAAAAAAATATTTTAAATATTTCTGGTAATAGAAATTAAACACAAAGAATATGCCAAGAAAGATTTTATTTGTATTAAAGCTTAGCTAAGATTTTATGATAAATTCGAAAAGGTACGCGAATATTTATGATCAATTATATTTAATAATAGGTGAACCTCAATCGAGTTATGAGGCCAGCAGGAACAAGGTACCGGGTAAGCTTAATGATGATTTATAAAGGGTTTTTGGTAAAGCAATTAATCACAGACATTTAATCAAGCTTGGTTTTATACGATTTATTTCATATAGGTTAGTATTAATACATTACATATAATTTAGAATAAAAATTTTTTGTAGAGCCGACTTCAATATAAATTATTAAGAATAACTCAAAAACTGTTGGTCTGACCTTGATCAAATTCATATGGGACCACACGAAAAGTACCAGCTTTCAAATAAAAAAAGAATCATCGAAATCGGTTCACCTAGAAAAAAGTTATGAGGTAACACACATAAAAAACATACAGTCGAATTGAGTACCGGCTCCTTTTTGAAGTCGGCAGAAAATATTTTAAAATAATTAAAAATTAAAAATTTTGTAGAGCCGGCTTCAATATAAGTTATTAAGAATAACTCAAAAACTATTGGTCTGACCTTGATCAAATTCATATGGGACCACACGAGAAGTACCAGCTTTCAAATAAAAAAAGAATCATCGAAATCAGTTCACCCAGTAAAAGTTATGAGGTAACACATCGATGGGTAACACACATAAAAAACATACAGTCGAATTGACTATCGGCTCCTTTTTGAAGTCGGCAGATAAAATCACTGTTAGGACCTTAATAAAACTTGAACTCGATGGGATAATGATATATTATCCAAAAATATAACTATTAGTTATTTTTAAAAACGATAATAAAAAGTATTTTATGTGTGTACACGTTACTATACCGTTAGCGTCAGTCATTCTTTTTTTTCTGTTCCTTTTTTTTTAAATATGTTCTTTAGCGTGCAGTTTATTCTCGACAAGTAGATATGTTTATACAGCAAAAGTTAAAAAATAATAATTTGCAGTCATAAACGGTAATAAACACTATATGCCGGGACGAGAAAAACAACAAGAGATATAATTTATTATAATACATACACAAAATATCTGTAATAAAGCAAATGGGACAAAAACAAAAAGTTCGTAATAATCAGATATAGAATATTCTTGAGATAAAGCTCACATAAGAGTCGTTTAAAAGAGTTCTTGTTAGTAGCTTACTTGATACCACATAGATAAATGTATTGATTGCACACTAAAAGAGGAATTAAAGAAACCACTGCACATCGTGGAATAAGAATTTGAAAACAATTTTGGTAACTGGGAGCTCGATCACGAGTAGAATAAAGATATTGAAAGTTATTCATAGGATAGAATTTGGATAATTTAAAATCGAACATTGTACTAGTGAAATTGTAATTTGATTGTAAGCTACCCCTTTGACAAACAGAACGCCATTTATATTGAATTTAGAACGGTACTGGAAAACGGTCATACTTACGTAAACCGAAAATTATTCTAATGCAATTGTTGAAATTGTTTAGAAGGCGCTCCAACATAGTAACTAGTTTTTGGGATGGATTAGCATAACTACTAATTGTGTGCCCGGAGTTTTTTATAGGATAACTAAAGAATCGAATTAAAAATAATAAATTAATAAAATTTTCTCGGAGCAATAAAACTTCGACTGATATTGGTTTTTGTATTATGTTATAATTTATTCTTCATTTAAGAAGTTCACTAACCTAAAATCGTACAACGTATAACATACAAACATAAATTGAGATCCTTTTAAAAAGAATCCAAACATTATCATTATAATAACTATTATTTAACAATTTTTGCTTATTAAAAATTTTAAGCGTTTCTGCAACTTTGTAAAACTTAAACATTGCTCCATAAAGGAATTACCTACTGACTAATTTGAGTCGAATGATTGCTTGTGTGCAGAGTTTGTGCTTGTTCCTAGTATTTACAGAATGGACATCACTATTTTTGTTTTAGTGTACATTAAATTTTCGAAAATATGCTGAAAATCAAAGTAAATATATTAATTCTTTAAAGTTTTCTATCAGAAACTACTTCGGACTTGGGTTTTAAATTTCTCTTTGGCTCTCTTCTACAACATACAACTAATAGCATACTGTTAATAAGATATTCCATCTTATATTAGTCTAATAAATTTAGATGTATATGAACCAAAATATCCACTAATTGTCAGGTGTTCTGTATGCTTATTTAAACCTTTATTTAATCCCATAAAGAATCGAAACCGTAACACTTATTTTAAAGCCAAAATCCATTTTTTCGTAATATTTGATTTTTATTGTAAATAGCGCAATGGTAACAAATATGAAAGAACCTAAACAACACATATTGATCATAAGCTATAATAATCCTACAAGTCATAGTTATGAAATCATGAAGTTAAATTACTTAGACGTCCGGATGTGATAGGTACATAAAGTACACAGCTACATTTTTTTATAGGATAGGATGACAAACGAGCACACAGTCCACCTAATGGTAAGTGGTCGCTGTGACCCATAGACATCTACATCTATCCTCGATAAAGAATCAAAATGCAGAGGCGTTGTCACCCGTGAGGACTAAGATGGAATGCCACTTTTCCAGTAAATAGGGTCTCCGGTTCTCTACACTCACCATACGAAACACAGCAGTGTTAAGCAGCTATTTTACGTTGGTATTCTGTAAGAGCGTGATCCTTCCCCGATCGAGCCCACCCATTCGTGCTACAACTATACTACTAATACAGCTACAGCATGGCTCTACCAGATTTGCATACAAATCAAGCAAATAAAAGCGTGTTAAAAATGGTTATGAGATAGGTACACTGCAGACTAAACTGAATACTGTGGACTACAAGAGGTAAAATTACATAATTTGTAAAACTGACTTCAATATAAATAAACATAGCAAGCTAACAGCATAGCAAAGTGGCGAAGCAATCAGCTTTGTAGCGGTTTCTAACGGTTGCCGTTGAGCAATCAGTTTCAAAATAGGAAGTTCAGATGCCTGGGTGATCAGTAATCGATTGCTGAAAACAGAATTTGAAAATTCAAAACCGGTATCGAGATAATCGTGGGACAGACGGACAGACATCGTGAACTCAATAAGTGACTTCGCAAGCTTCGCAACTTAATATAATCAGAACATCATCAATGTAGTTAAAGTCAATTAAAGACGTATTATTAAGGATAACTAAAAAACTACTGGTCACATCTTGATCAAATTTATATTGGACCACATGAGAAGCACCAGCTTTCAAATAAAAAAGAATCATCAAAATCGGCCCACCTAAAAAAGTTCTGAGGTAACACATAAAAAAATACAGTCGAATTGATAACTGAAAACTCCTTTGAAGTCGGTTGAAAAATATAAAAACACAAATAGAATACCACACAACCTGTAACTATACAGATTCCCTTACCCTTGATACTAGAACATGGGAGTGGGTGCACTTCCGCGTGGCGACAGATGGTACCTAAATATTTATAATATAAATAACTTATAATAATTATAATATAAATGCTCTTGCCTCTATAAATGTTCCCTCGGTTTTAGAGCCTTGTGGAATATTTAGAGACGATGGCAAGAGACCCGACGGTATGACATTGGTCCCTTGGGAGAGAGGTAAAGCCCTAGTGTGGGATGCTACTTGCGTAGACACTCTGGCGGCCTCTCATCTCAGGGGTACCTCTTTTAAAGCCGGGGCAGCATCAGAGGCAGCTGAACTGAGTAAGTGGCGCAAATATGAGTCTCTGAGAGATGACTACATATTTGTGCCATTTGCTGTAGAGACTACCGGTCCGTGGGGTCCACTTGCGGTGAAGTTCCTAAAGGAACTCCATCCGCGGCTGGTCGTTGCTGCTGGTGATAAGAGGGCTGGTTCTTTCCTCGCTCAAAGGCTAAGTATAGCCATTCAGCGGGGAAACGCAGCCAGCGTTCTTGGCACGATATCGCGGGGAGTAGGACTATATGATAATTAAGTTTCTAGTTTTAGTTTTTTTTTTATTATCATAGTTTTTAATGTTGTAGATAAAATTAATTTAATGTAATATAAAAACATTCATCAATAATTGTAAACTGTGGCCGTCAGGAAAGATTTCCTGAGGAAACTATTCAACAACTACAGCATCAGCAACATAAAAATTATTTTAAAGAATTTTGCATTTAATGAAGAGACTTCCGAGATAATTCTTAAAAACGAAGCTTGATTAAATCTAACGACATCATCATATGAAATCATATTTCATCAAAATATACCTATTTACTACTCCATCGGTTCATTGTGCCAAATTATATTATTACACTTTATATCCATTGATTCATTATAACATTAATCATTTATTTCATTTACATCAAACGTAGGGAACATTTATTCAACATTCCTGTTCGTTACAAAATGACAGACTATCCATGATAAACTACAAAAATATCGAAAGAAAAACTTGTTCATATTATTTTCTTTTAAAAATTTACAAATAGGACATTTGTATTTACGTTCAGCTCAGCTTTTTTTATAACTATAAGTGTTATAGATTTTAATATAATTATAGTTTTTTTTTTTTTACTTAAATTAAAAACTCTTTATGTAATTTCCATATAAGACGAATTATAAAAACTTTTGATGAGCCGTGCATTCTAAAATTCTAAATAATCAATTTATTTTTATTTAAACCATATACATAACAAAGATAAATAGAACATTTTCTTTGAATTTATAAGTTATAAGTTTTTACGATGACATAAAAAATATAAGTAACCAAGAAGTTAAATGATGATTACATGGTCTGTGGTCAAGGTTGAGCAAAGACGATACTTAATTTTTGCCTCAACTAAATTATGTAGAGTCAAATTAAAGTTTTATAATTAAGGAAATTGTTTTTTTTTATGTGCAATGAAAAGACTTAGAAACAACAAAAGAATTAACTAACTTCATTATTAGACGCATTGACTTCCTTATGAAACGGAATTTTTAACATTTGTAACGATTAAAAAAAACTATAGACAAATTAAGGGGTTAATAAGAGCAGCCTGAATAATGATAAGAATTGTTAAATAAACTATTCATTTTCTATTTATTTCATCATTTATTAAAAATTATTGTTGTATATGATTTTTCGGATTGTTTTATTTTCCCTTTATCAAATTTAAAAAATACAAAACTTTGTTCTTAAACTTACAAAGAAGTATTTTTAAATAACAGTAAAAAAATTAACCTTTATTTGTTTTATGGCTGACTTTTCAATCATTAGATTAAAGTTATTCGTCAAATATATTACAATCTGACTGAATATAACACAGAAACAAATGAAGTACTATTTTATTCATACAACCGTAATTTTTAATTTTGTTTATGTTGTATTTTATCCTAGGAATAAATTTATCTGAGAATTAAAAAATAGCTTTAGTGTATTATTTTGTAGTGGGTACTTATCAAGTTCATCGCGATACTCCGTCCAACAACTGAAATTATACAAGGCTTATCATCTTACATCTCACATTTCTAACCACCATCGCCATCTCACACCATCACTAACTCTCCATACAACAATTCACCAACAGGTATTGGATTTAGCCAAATACTGGACTATTTATTAGGAGGCTACGGACAAGGGTACTATCCGGATCGTTACCCGGGCAACTATCCAAGCGGTGGCCAACATGGACAGTATCCAGGTTACCAGCCGGGTTTGATCGGACCGCCGGGCGCGCATCCAGGGTGCCCGCTCTGCGATTCTTCGGTCTACAGCTACTGCTCTTACAAACAGGCGCATGATGCTTGCTGTTGCGAGCATTCTGGTTGTAAGTTTACGTATCTTTAATTACTACCATTAATTATTATAGCTTATCACACGTCTACTCCTAAAGATAGGCCTCCCTCAAAGAATGCTAACAGCACGTTCCTTAGCATATGCATCCATTGACATCTTCTTTTATAGAAAAAATAAAAGAAACAAGTTGTAAAATTAAAAACTTTGTACAACCGACTTCAAATTTAATTATTAAGGATAACTCAAAAACTATTGGTCACACCTTGATCAAATTTATATGGGACCACATTAGAAAGCACGAAATAAATAAGACCAAGCTTTCAAATAAAAAAGAATCATCGAAATCGGTTCACCTAGAAAAAACGTCCTCCTTATTGTACCGACTTCAAAAAGGAGACAGTACTCAATTCGACTGTATGTTTTTTTTATGTGTGTTACCTCATAACTCTTTCACTCACTCACTTCTCTCGCACCCATGAACCGATTTCGATGATTCTTTTTTTATTTGAAAGCTGATGCTTCACATGTAGTCCCATATAAATTTGATCAAGGTGTGACCAATTGTTTTGAGTTATCCTTAATAATTAAAATTGAAGTCGGTTATACAAAATTTTTAATTCTAATTTATTTAATTTGAATTAAAACCCCGTCATCATCATCATCATCATTACAGCCCTTCAAAAGTCCACTGCTGAATATAGGTCTCCCCCAAGGAATGCCACAAACCACGGTCCTGGGCCACCTGCATCCATAGACTTCCTGCATGTCTTACCAGGTCGTCACTCCATCTAGTGTGGGGCACCCTACAGTTCGCCTACCGGTACGAGGCTACCACTCGAGATACTTTTTCCCCATCCGTTGTCGGTTCTTCGAGCTATATGGCCGGCCCATTGCCACTTGAGCTTACTCATCCGTTGGTCTATGTTTGTAACTCTAGTTCTACTGCGGATATCCTCATTTCTAAGTTTATCACACAGGGAAACTCCAAGCATAGCCCTCTCCATAATTCGATGACCTTGCGCTTCCTCATCTGGCCAGCCGTGCCACGTCTCAGTTCCATTGGTCATCAATGGCAACACGCACTCGTTGTACAGTTCCGTTTTCAAATTTTGAGGTATACCTGACGAGAAGATGTGCCGTGTGTAATTTCCCGAACGCTGCCCAGCTAAGTCGAATCCGCCGATAGACCTCTCACATAAGGTGAAATGAAAGGTGAAATAGAGGGCGGAATTAAAGAGCTTCTGAAGGACTTCACGTACCGGCTTTCACCCGCTTTCAGAAAATCCGCTGTAATTCCATTCTCGTCTGAGGCCTTGCCGATTTTAAGGTGCTGGAGAGCCATTCTAATCTCGCTCAGACTGACGTCGGGATGACATCGGAATAGTGTCGGCTAAGACTTGCTCTTGGATCGTTACTCACACTTGCGTGTAGCTCCAACGATGATGTGTACAGCTGCCCATAGAACCTCTCAATCTCACTCAAAATCTGAGGTGTCTCGGAAACGACGTTGCCACACTTAGTCTTCAGTTGACTCTTTCTGGCAAACAGATCTCTTGCAAAGACTTTGGGGCCCTGGTTTCGCGCGAAAGATTCTTCAATACGAGCAGTATTAAAGTTGCGTAATACCCGCCGCATGCATTTGGAGATCTATCTGTTCAGTTGCATGTATGCTGTCAAATCTACTGAAGACTACAGCTTCATTTCCCACCTAACAGCTATGAGATCAAGAGTGTGATCGGAGAGTTTTTGTGTTCTTCTGTTGGCGGGTCTTGCAAAACTTAGCTCCGACCGCATGTATAGTTTCTACGAACTTGTCATTCATATCGCCCACTACATTGAAATCTTCTCAGCACTGTAAAACGGTTTTGTAGCTCAAGCTGAAAGGGCTCGGGACTTTGGATTAAAATAGGAGGGGGGCGGAGCGTTGATTTCATTAGACGAGACCTCTCGATGAAAGAATGAGGAGCGCGGTGGTAGATACAAGGGTTTACCGGGGCTCTAACGTAGGGACGGATCATTACTTGGTCTTATGCCGAATTAATGGTCTTTTCAGACGTTGGAGGCATCGGACATCTGTGTCTACCACAGCGTTACAGCGTATAAAAACAGAGAGGCTACAAGATGAAGGTGTGAAAGAGAAGTTCAAATGTAGATTGAGAGAAAATATAAGTGGTATGGCTGAATTGTGTATGAATGATTTAGACTTGGAGACTGTGTGGTATAATGTCAAGAAAGGTTTAGTGGATGCAGCTACCGAAGTATGTGGTGTAAGCAAGAGAACAAATGAAAGGAAAAATAACACGTTATGGTGGGATGATGAGGTACGGATGGAAGTTGAAGCAAAGAAGAAAGCATGGCTAGATTTACTAGCAACCAAGGCTAGTAATTCTAGCAGTATGAATGATGATATTGAAAGGAAAAAGGCGGTTTTTAGACACCTAAATAAGAGAGTAAAAGAAATAGTTGAAAGGAAAAAGCAAGAAAGAACGGATAAGAATGATAGAAGAATATCGGATAACTTCCAGGAAAACATTAAAATGTTCTGGAAACTCGTAAGAACTACCAGGGGACATTCACAACAGCCTAGAATGAATGCTATACGAGACCAGAATGGCTGTATTCTGAATGACGAAGTTTTGAGTTTAAGGAGATGGAAGGAATACTTTGAAAGCGTGTTTATGAGTGATGAGACGTTTGAATTAAATGAAATAGAAATTCCGAAAGAAGAGGAAATAGATAGAGATATAAGTATAGATGAAATAATGAAAGCAATGAAAAGTATGAAAGTAGGTAAGGCAGCTGGTTATGATAGAGTATCTCTCGAAATGCTAAGGGCTGGAGAAGGAGTGGTGGCAGACCTGCTGTACACCTTGTTTAATTTATGTTGGGAACTTAAGCGGGTACCGGGAGACTGGTGCAAAGCCGTGATAGTCCCAATATATAAGGGAAAAGGATCACAGCAGGACTGTAAAAACTACCGTGGTATCAGCCTTCTTAGCATTGTGGGAAAACTGTATGCTAAGGTACTAATTGAAAGAGTTATGAAAGAAACTGACGGAAAAATTTGGGATGTGCAAGCGGGATTTAGAAAGGGAATGGGATGTACGGATCAGGTCTTTTCCATGCGCATGATCGCCGAGAAGTTTTTGGCCAAAAACCAAAAAGTTTTTTGTGCGTTCATGGACTTGGAGAAGGCTTATGACAGAGTGGACAGGGATGTGTTATGGCAAACACTGAACTCATTTGGGTTGAGCGCTGGTCTGATACGGGCATTGAAGTCTCTATATAGGGACTCTAGTGCTTGTGTCAGGATCAACGGGGCCTACTCGGACTGGTTTGACATCCATAAAGGTGTCAGACAGGGCTGTGTGGCTTCCCCGTGGTTGTTCAACCTGTTTATGGACAGTTGTTTGGAAAATTTGAAAGTAGAAGAATGCGGGTTAAGAATGGGTGAGTTAACCGTCAAATGCCTTTTGTACGCCGATGATCAAGTCATACTTGCGTCGTCGGCAGCCGAGTTGCAAATGATGGTTACATTAATGAACAGGACATTAAAAGAAAAGGGAATGAAAGTGAACGCAAGTAAGACGAAAGTTATGGTTTTTGAAAGAGAAGAAAGTAAAACGATATGTGAAATAAGAATAGAAGGGGAGTTGGTAGAGCAAGTAGATGAGTTTGTATATTTGGGATGTGTGTTTAGCAGGGATGGTAGATATGATAAGGATATAGAACGACGAGTGAATGCAGGAAATAGAGTGAATGGGGCTCTACACTCTATTGTGAAAAGTCAGAATGTGTCCAAAAAGGCACGTATGGCAATTCACAATGCTGTGTTAGTACCTACTTTAATGTATGGTAGTGAAAGTTGGGTGTGGCAGAAGAAGCATGAGAGTAGAATAAATGCTGTAGAAATGCGGTCATTAAGGAGTATGTTAGGGATGAAGCTGAATGACAGAGTGAGAAATTGTTTAATAAGAGAAGAGTGTGGTTTGCAAGATGATGTTGTGACCAGGATTAAGAAAGGAATGCTTCGGTGGTTTGGCCATGTAGAAAGAATGAATGAGGAAAGAGTGACAAAGCAAATTTATGTTGCAGAGGTGAACGGTATAGTCGGGAAGGGTCGCCCTAGGCGAAAGTTTATCGACCAAATTGGCGATATATTAAAAATGGGCCAAATCAAGAGTACCTTTAACCGACGAGCGTGTATGCGTAGGTATATGGATGTGGAGGAAGCGAGAGAGGTGTGTCAGGATCGTGCCAAATGGAAGTCCATAATCTCTGCCTACCCCTCTGGGTGACAGGCGTGAGTGTTTATGTATGTATGTATGTATGTATGAGACCTCTCCAACTTAATGTATAGGTTCAGTACACCTCTAACCATTCAGTGATCGCTAACAGTTTTCTCCCTCGCGATCACTCAGACATTACTGAACAGTTGTCGTCTGGTCGTCATAATAAAGTCAATCTAATTTTTTGTCAAACCGTCTGGGCTCGACTAGGTCCTGTGGGGCCGCTTCTGGAAGAAAGAGTTCATCATAAAGATTCCTTCTTTCTCCATGAAGCCGCCCAGTCATTAATTTCCTCCACCTTCTCATCGGGATGTGCCTACGTTGGTGCGTAACCTGTATGACCTTCAGCGAATACCATTTGATGATTCTGAGTATAAGGTACGCAACCCACGTCGACATACTCTCAATCTTTACAACGTTGTTAACAGGAGACTTGTTGACGATAAAACCGACACCTTGGGACAGATGGTCGCCCTCCCGGTGATAGAACAAGTTGCTTTTTTTATAGTAAAGGGTGACAAACGAGCACACGGTCCACCTGATGGTAAGTGGTTGCTGCGACCCATAGACATCTATATCTATCCTCTATTACAAATCAAAATGCAGATGCGTTGTCACCTGTGAGGACTAAGATGGAATGCCTCATTTCCAATAAAAAGGGTCTCCGGTTCTCTACACTCACCATACGAAACACAGCAGCGTTAAGCTGCTATTTTACGCTGATATTCTGTGAGAGCGTGGTCCTTCCCCGGTCGAGCCGACCCATTCGTGCTACAACTATACTACTAATATAGCTGCAGCATGGCTCTACCACGTATAAAACAAAAGTGCCTGATTCGAGGATTACCATGTCCTCCCCGTCTCTTCGGACCTCAACTAATCCTTCCAGCGCAACTTGTCTATCTCTTCTTCCAGCTCCAGGATCTTCTCGTCAGTCCTCAGGGTGCGTGCGTTATATGTTGCCAGGTCAAGTCGTCTTAGGTGGCAATCGAACTTCCACCGGAGATTCTTAGCACTCCATGCCCCGCCGTTACCATGGTCGCCACCGTAGCCAGGAATAGGGGGGCCGCCGGGGTTGGGGGCCGCCTCTTCGTAACTTTAATCATGGGGTTATATTGCCATAGTTGCCACCCTTGGCAAGCGGGTTGGCAACCGCAGTTTTTTTTATTGTTGTTTTGCTGTTATCAGAAAGATGCTGCTGCCCATCTTCTGCCTCCGTTTCCCTCTATCGCATCTTACCAAGGGAAGATATGGGGTAGTGGGTATTCTTTCCCGCCACTCCACGAGTTGGTGTACCTCTCACAGAATACCATCGTAAAATAGCAGCTCACCACTGCTGTTACTTATGGTGAGTGTAGAGAACCGGGGAGCCTTTTTGCTGTAAACGTGACATTCCATCTTAGTTCTCACGGGTGACAACGCAAACATTTTGATTCTTAACTGAGGATAGTTGTAGATGTTTATAGGCCACGACATCCACTTACCAGCAGGTGCACTATATGCTCGTTTGTCACCCTTATCATATTTAAAAAATGTCAGTCAAGTGCAAGTCGGACTGGCGCATAAAGGGTTCCGTGCCATCGTAAAACACGTTTCTAGTAGGGCAGCACCCTTTAATTTTTAATTTATTTGTATTTAATTATATTTATTGTTATAGAAAATTTCAACTGTGTACCTATTACGGATCATGACATGCAGCCCACTGACAAACAGAAGGACAGACAGCGGAGGCTTAGTAATAGGGCCCCGTTGGTTACCCTTTGGAACGGAACCCTACAAAAGTTATTCATTAACATTCTAAACTACCCCCAAAGTTGTACTAGGATGCACAGTCTAAGAAGGCCTTAAGTGGTACTAAATTATATCCTGTGCTTAACAATAAAATACACCAGGACATCATCATCATCGTTGTTTTTTTTTTAGATTTGTCATACAATTGCTACAACACCAACTGCAATTTTGTTTACGCGAACTCCTGTGAAGAGTACCATCTCATAACCAACTGCTGTTGTGTCGACGTACAGAAGAGGGCAGTGGACAACGTCATTGTATAATCGACTCTGTTGTAAGTGGCATAAGTACTAAGTTATTTTGAAAAATGCGTTAGGTTAAGAAATAAGTAGAAAAATAAATAAAATTGCATATGAGTTTTTTTATTTAACCCAATTTCATTTTGAAAAAAGTAATTACAAATGTAAATTGCCGATAAAAATTAAAAACTGATGTATATTATAGCCAAACGTGTTTTCTATAATTGGCAACCCTAACATCATATTATTTATTCTCTAATACAGTTACTCTGTAAGCTTTTTATGTTATATCGACTTAAATCAGCCCCACACTAGTATAATAATATTCTTCCGTATCATGGAAGCATTTTACATACCTTCATACGTTGCGTTCAGACCCGGCCGGACAAAATTATTTGTTAAAATAATTACCTATACAAAAGATTTCTTTTTATACAAAAGTAAAATGACAAAATAACTTGCTTGCTGTAAAGACACGTGATAGTAAGTGGCTACTACCACCGCTTTTAACCGTGGTAGAGCCATGCTGCAGCTACATTAATTGTATAGTTACAGCACGAATGGGTCGGCTCGACCGGGGAAGGATCACGCTGTCACAGAATACCAGCGCAAAATAGCAGCTTAACGCTGCTGTGTATCGTATGGTGAGTGTAGAGAACCGGAGACCCTTTTTACTGGAAAAAAGGCATTTTATCTTAGTCCTCACGCCTGACAACGCATCTGCATTTTGATTCGCAAACGAGGATAGATGTAGATGTCTATGGGCCACAGCAACCACTTGCCATCAGGTGGACTGTGTGCTCGCTTGTCACCCTTATCCTATAAAAAATACTGCAACCTATGGGCCTCTGCAACCAATTTCAAATAAAGAAGGTTATAGATAGATGTAATTTTGTTGACGGCTTCGTGGCTTAGCAATAAGTTGCTGCGCTGGGGGTCGCGGGTACGAATCCCGCACGGAACAAGTATTTGTATGGCCTACAAATAATTGTTCCGGGTCTGGATGTTTGTCCATGTGCAACTTGTGTTTGTAAACTGCCTCCATGATACAGGAGAAAATCCTAGTGTGGGGGTAACGTTTTTTTAAACGAAAATAAAAAAAGAAAATAGATGCATTGTCGCCTCTGAGGACCAACATGGAATGCCTCACAACCTGTAATAATAATATATATGGATGTAGAGAGCCACTATATCCTTCAGACCGAGACAGCAGTGCACTGCTTTAAGTAGTATATATTCCTTAAATAGGCAAAAGGGTGGTACAACCCAGACCAGTGTTTCCCAACCTTTTTTGACTGGGGGATACCCTGGTCCACTTTGATTTTTTTGAAATTAGCAGAGACCACAAGGTGAAAGAAAAACAGTGTAAATCTAACAAAAAATGATAATCACAACATTTAACATAATTATATAATAAACTGAAGAGAAGCATTCGTTAACAGTAATATTTGTGTATTTATTGTAAAAGCTAATCGATACTTAATAACGTGACGCGCGGTGTTGCACTGCCCGCGGGACGGTGTTATTTAAAATAAAGAGGTAGGTAACATATTTACAGCTTTCGAGGTCCATATTTAAGCTATTGCGGACCACTGGTTGGGAATCACTGACCTAGACGGGCTCCTGCCTCTTAGCAGTCTCGTTTCGTGCTGAATTCGAATCCGTGGTCCCCCAACGATGTAACACATCCTGTCAGTCCTGAACAACTGACTCCAAGCATCTTAGTCAGCGGCGTAGCTACTCAGGGGCTAGGCGGGGCAGTGCCCCCGAGCTAAAGGAGTCCATGGGCCTCCAAAAACGACGTTCGAAAAATTATGTACTATCCTGCTTGTATAAAGAATTTTCTAGTTTTAACATTTTGACCCTGACCGCGAACGGCTCGAACTGAAATCACAAAAATTACTCCCGCTTCCAGAACATAAATATAACATTGTTAAATATAATTTTATACATACTTCGTTTAATTGTCTTTTTTATATATAAGAGTGGGACAAACCAGTATGCGGTTCACGTGATGGCAAGTGTCGACCACCGTCTGTTAACAAATAAAACACCAGGGGAATTGCAGGTGAATTGCCCCGATAATGTGAATTTGTGAAATGCATTGATGAAATTTTGTGGCCTGAATTAATCCGAACAACTCCTCTGAACACCATCCGTGGTAAATGCAATAGAAACTGCAAAGGGATGCAACATCTCTTGGTACAGGGATGAGAACAGTGTTCCATGTTAGGCCGAACCTGCCCCTTGTAAAGTTGCAAGCAGTGTGCCGGCATAAAACTGTCCCTCTCTGCTGGGCACGCAAAGCTTTTTAGAGGCCAATTCAGCCTTCCCTTCCAAGTGACCACGAAACTGCACGTTAGTCGATATATCAATGCCAAAGATTCCGATACTGGTCGAGGTAACAAGGGCAGTGCCCTGAAATTGAGGAGTTACGACGAAGAGATTCTTTTTAGTGGTAAACACGCAAAATTGTGTCTTCTGGGCATTGAAATTAATTAGATTTAGTCGACCTAATCCGAGATCTTAACCGGCAAAAACTTGACTTCAAACACAAGTTTGTTCCGGTACTTGGCGACGTTTTCCCGAGAAATATAAGCACAGCTGTTGTATTGGTGGTTTGCAACATATTATTGATAATCAGAAGAAACAGCGTAGGTGCTAGCACGTAGCCTTGTGGAAGACCAGCATAAATAGGCTTGTAAATGGAGCATGTACCTTCTACTACGACTTTGTTGCTCCAATCTGCAAGAAAACTACAGATCCAGTTGCACAAATTCTAGGGAAGTCCATAGAAAGGGAGCTTCAAAAGAAGCATTTTGTGCCAAACCCGATCAAAGGCCTTCGCTGAGTTCAAATTAACGGCCAGGGTCTTTGTCTCTGCCTCCGGTGATTTATGAGTGAGGTAAGCCGAGAGAGCTGAGTAACACCGACTGGCGGTCACTTTTCAGTTGGTGATCCTCAACCTTATGGCAGTTCACAATGGTTTTCATTATTTTGGAGAACAAGTTGGATAGGTCTGAGCGGTCAATTTTCGGTTATTTTTTTAGGGATCTGGTGCATTAAAGCCCTTTTCTTTCAGTTCGGAACTACGCCTAGGGAGAAAGAGTTTTAGAAAAGACACGTTACTACCGGTGCCAACTAGTGAGCACACGTCTTCAGCACAATGGGAATAACTCCATCAGACCCACTCGACTTGACGTCTAGGGACAGTAATGCTATGCGCGTCGAGCGCTGTGTAAACCGCATCATACCAACCTGAATGCAAAATTATACTTCTTTTTAACAGCGCTGGTGGAGCACTCTTATTATAGCGCGATGCAATTTTACACGGGCGACCAAACCAGGCACCACAGATGATAGAATAAAGAGTTCTATTCCCTGAAGTACCACATCAGTGACAGAATCATGTTGGGATCATCCGGCGGGAAGGATAACCGCTCCTGTCCTCAAGGGAAGGATGCAAAGAAAGACCGCATCCTGTCCTAATCGACGGACCTATAGTGCCAAATACGGCGACGATCTGCAGAACGCAACTGTGATGGGAGTGTGAGTGGCACCATAGTCCGGATCAGACAATGGTCCAATGAGCCAAGAGTGGCATCGACAGAGACCTGATATCCGTCCGGAAGAGAGAAGTAAGCGGAAGGTCCTACAGGGAGGTACACGATCCTCCACATCTAGAATCCGCGTAGGTGAAGTAACCATTTGTTTCGGACCATTTGCCAACGCAAAATCATAAACAGATCTTCCCGCATGATCGGTTAAACGAGAACGAAGACATTTAGCTTGGTGGCTGTTAAAATCACCAAGGATCACGATCTCTGCAGATGGGACCTGTTGTAGCACCGAGTATGCAGCGATTTGGACGTGGTCAATGAGTTGGTCTGTGTCGACATTACCTATAGAGGCACCCGTAGACGAGAGGAAGAGTGGACTATGAAAGCTCAATCCGTTGCTGTGCACAGATATTTCCTAAGTTGTCAGGATACTCGACTGTCCCCGCTTGGGGCTGGCGCATTGTCTGGCACATTAAATACTTCTCCTTCTCCTTGTTGCCATTTTAGAAAACTGTTTTTATTTATTTTTTAACAAAAATCAATAATTACTTGCAACTACGCATTAATTAATGTATTTTTTACATACAGTGTTTAATGTTAAATATCACTATCCTGTAAACAGACTTGGACCGGTTATGTGTTTACACTTTAAATATTTAATTTAACGCATGCAGAATAATCGCACCAGAGTTAACAGAGTTAAGATTTTACAACCTGCTTTGTTTGCGAAGACACTAAAAGCAAACGTGACGTATTCGAGCCGTCCAACTTGGTACACTATGTTAGTCGCTGCAAAGCTTTGTTAAGCGCTTGAGGCGTTTTAAGTTCGTTAAATGTCCTGAACTTCGAATATTAAATTTATGATGTTAGAACTTATATACAATGAACGTATATTATTACACTGTCTAAACATCTTCATGTTATGGTCATAACAATTTCACGTGCTTTAACAATATTTTGCAACATCTTTTCTAAAATATTGATATATCATCATTTGTTTTTCGATTTTTTACTCCGAATCCGAACAGCACAACACTTAGTTTCTTAAAGTAACACGAGGAACCAGAGGAAAGAGTATAATCACTACGTTTTAAACCAGAGTTTGATCTGCGATTGTCAGGACTTCACTGCACTATACTGAAATTGTAAATAGCAATGAATTTTAAATACCACAAACATACCTAATCGATGAAACAAAAGAAACCTGCATCTTCGGAAAAAATATTCCATAAACATGTGACGTCCGCTGACGCACTGTGGCACGGCGGTGGTCCTTTCCCTATTCAAAATAGTTCACTTTCTAACACATGCAGTTCATACATGGTAGAGCTATGTTACATCAGATTTATTATGGCTGATTGCTGAGGCTAATGAAGGACGACGCTCTCACAGAATCATTCATCATTACAGTTCTTCACAAGTACACTGCTGAACATAGGACTCCCCAAGGAATGCCAAAAAGCA